TAAACTATTATAAAGATGACACAACTTCATCCTTTGGCTATAGTGAATAATAGTAAAATTTATGCTTTGCGTCAAAATGTGTCATCTACTTGTTCAAACTTATTTGCAGAATTTCGAATTCAAAATTTAAAGGTACTACGTATAAAAATTTTCAAAATTCAGTAATCAATATATATTCTAATTAAATTTAAAGTTTAAAAATGTTTTCACGATAATTTTATAGGGACCAATTGATGAAGTTGCATTAAATGATGCTATATTGGCACCTTGTGATGCTCGCGAGAATTTTAATTTTCGAGTTTCAGATTATGATGGAATGTCCGCCTCTGTATGTTCCTACACACATTTTCTTTTTTAAATATCTATTAACTAAATAATTCAAAATTTTGTTTGATATAGGTTCGAATTAGTTATAATGGCATTAATCATGAGTACTTGATTAAACGATTGTCCTCTTACCCAGGAATCAATAAACTTTCCACCAACGGATTTTCTGATTGGGTACCTCTTGATTCTTGTACCGTTAATATATTACACCCTTTTTCTTCTTCCCATTCTGCTAAATTTTCATCTGAGAATGGTGAACCACCACTTGAGATTGAAAAAGTTGATAGAGCCATAGATAATATGGCAGGTGTTAGATGTGGTGCCAGACTAAATTCCAATCAGTGTTTAGCGTCATTGTTTCCAGGTTCTGTAGTAACCTCTAGCAAAGATGGAAACTTTCACATTGTTTGGTCAAATTCTATTAGAAACATTTCTACTTCTATACAATTGTTTAATTTTATTATAATTGGAAGAACAAATCGCTTTTTTGAGAAGGTAAGCTACTTATTAATATCAATGAAATTTACTTTATGTAACACAAATGTTTTAAATACCTTGACCTGTTTTTTGTTTTATTTTGTAGGCAAAAGATAGATTTCTTTTATTATCTGTCCAAGTATTAAATGCTATTAGGAGTATTCCTGTGCTTCATAAAACAATTAAAATAATTAAATGTTTCTTTGAAAGTCATTTGATAGATGAGCAACTCAAAGACCTTTTTAAAAATATTAATGATTTATTGATCGAGTTGGAACAAGCGATTGGAAAGATTATTAATGCCCTCGATGAGAACCGATATGAACAATTAAATGGTATTTCATAAAGAAACAAATCATTATACAATAGTATTATCATTGTATTCATTGTATTGTACCGGTAATAATAATTATTATTGTAATTTTAGGATATTTTGTTAAAACAAGTGGAATACTTCGTGAAATTTGTCGTTTAATTGAAAATGGGATCAACAAATTGAATGCTTTGGCAGAACAGGCCGAAGTGACTCAACAAAGAGCAAATTTTTTGGACTACGTAATGAGAGGTGCAATTCTGTAAGTTATGCATTTGTGGTTTCCTCATATAGTATAATTTAATCGGTTATATTTATTAATCGTTGTTGTTAATTTCAAATTTGCATTTATATTTAAAGCGGTGTGGTGTTTTTCAGTGGTATGACTCTTTCAGCTGGGATGCCAGGAATCACACGACAACAATTAATCAGGGTAGGAATTACATCAAAATAAATGTCATATAATCTCTCATATTTGATCAATAATTAATAATCAATTTTTTTTTCATCGTGTTACCAAATAGCGATTAGCTAATGGAATAGTTGGATGCGTTACTTGTAGCAGCGTATATGGATTTTCATATTTACTTAGTAACAAATATAAGGAAGATATCGATAAATACAAAAAAGCAAAAGAAGAGTTGATGAAAATGGATGAACTATTTTCTAATATGAATGATACTAATGTTCATTACCTTCATTTGGATGACCAACTTTATCCGGGTAAAGCTGAAATTTTTGCTAATGTTTTCAAAAAATTTCAAAATGAGGTTCAGCGAAGCATGGATCTAGGTGTAGTTTAAGTTATTAATTAAAATATAGGAATATATACTATATATATAGAATTAGTTTTCTCATCAATAAGTTTAATATCTTTAAATATTCATATATATATATATAGAGTTGTAACGTCGTTGTTTATACTAAGTCAACCCTGTTAATCCGAACTTGTAATCAGTTTAACAAGGTTGGCTTAGTGTTAATAATCAACGTAATTGTAAAGTCAATAACTACTGTTATTGTACTCGCTTCACCGGATATTACTGTACATATTTAGGATCAAACATTTGTATTTTATCATTCTGTTCATATGTACAAAGAACTAAACAAGCATTTACTTAATAAATACTTGTGATGAATTAATAATAAGCTAATAATTTGTTATGTAAATTTAAAGATAATTGGGGGAACCATACTAGTTAACTTTATTAACCAATGATTTGAGTTATAATAGATTAATATAAGTTATTTCACTATGCTTCAAAATTTCCTAAATTTACGGCTTTTTTTTTTTGCCAATAAATCTAAATTTCTTGGGTTATAAATAAAAATTCCCAAAATTTCTCTTATTTCCGCTTTCCTGATACTGCACCTAGTAATACGTAGGAGCTGGTTATTGATATAGCTGAATAACAATGGAATTTTAGACTTGTTTTCGAATCAAAATAAATAAAAAGTGAATAATGTTAGATTGCTTTTTTACTACATAAAACAAAAACTATAAAATTACGTTGAATAATATCAGAGAATTCTGGTTTTTTCCCTTCTCTCACTTTATTTTATTTTATTTATTTTTTTAATTTATTTTCTTTATTTTTTTTAATTTATTTTCTTTATTTTCTTTATGTTTTAATTTATTTTCTTTATTTTTTTAATTTATCAATTTTTTTAAACCACCTTTTGAAATTGTAAGAATTCAAATTACAATAAATTACAATAAATTACAATAAATTACAATAAATTACAATATAATGTACGAATTATTATGCTTTTCAAATTAATGCGACCACACATAATGCAAAAATCTGTAAAACTTCTTAAAATAGCAATTTTCAAAGATTCTTCAATACGTAGATGCTAATTTTCTATGATACGACATGGTAAGAATTAGTTATTCTATAAAAACGTTATCGTTTTTCCGGGTGCCGGTCAAAATCACGACAAGCACAATCCCGACAGGCGACAAATAAAGATCCCGAAAGTCAGGATTTTCAAGTAGAAAACCCCAAATATGTGGTATGTTTAAAGAGAAGTAGGCTCTTATAATTTAATTAACTTTAGGGTTAGGTCACTTTAGATAAGGGTTAGGTTAGGGTTTATGATATTATTTTTTATCAGAATTTTTAATTGTCGGGATTTTTAACTGTCGGATTTTGACTGTCGGGGTTTCGCTTGTCGGGATTTGACCCAAACCCGTTTTCCCATCTTTTCACGAAAAGTATTACATTACACGAAATATTGAATGATTTGGACTATGCCGGAGGTGATTTTTATTAAACTTCTAATAAAATACATGATCAAGAAACGATAATTGGCGAAAATTGCAATTGTAATTGCACTAAGAGTCTCCGTAAGAAGAGCCAGTGTTTTCCCGCCTGCTGAAACAAGCAGGCTGTGAGTGAAAAAATGACAGAATCACGTGCCTCAGCCTTGGAATGGGTGGATCGCGAAAATTTTTGGATCAAGCACTGATGTGCAGTAAATCACGTGATATAAGACCAATCAAATTATAGAATTTTGATGATCGCCGGCGAAGCAAAACACGAAAACCTGAAAAATACTAAACCTACCTCGGTGGGTTAATTAAAAATGTCGGAAAGGCAATTTTGCTTATATATAACTACCTAAAAAAACTAACCTAACCTTAATATAAAGTTAATTCAATAAAAAATATATATTATAAGAATTTGCTCCACTTTAGACGTCTGTTAGATTTCCTTTATTTTTTTTTTTTGGCGCCAGTCATATGTCCTTACCGTCTCACGTTTTATCTACTATTTTACATTATTTTACATGCTTAACTCTTAAGTAATGACAATTGAAATAAATCGATCATAAAATTTAATGTTTGAAATCTTTTTATTCAAAGCCATATAATAAGAATTAATAGTTTAATATTCTTAAGGCTTTCGCTTATTTATTTACAATTTTCTTCTCAACACGCTGCAAGGATAAAAACATTGCTATATATATATATTTTTTCAAAACTTTAATTTAAGCACACGTATGCTTGGATTTGCGCAATATGACGTAGCGACAATTTATTTTTAATTTATCCAATTCCCGAGTCATGTACTAATCAAATGGGATGGGTTGTTCAGTACAACTCCGTTCGATTAGGAGCATACTCTACTAGGGTGATAAATGGACTAAGTAATCAAAACTATGTAAGGTAACTATAGAATTCAGATTTTCATGTTATACGAAGGAAAACAATCATTTGATACATATCGATATAACAGTAATATAACAGTAATATTAATATATTTATTAAAAATTTCAAAATGATTCAACTCACTAAAAAGACAAGGAATTGCTTGGAAATTTTCACA